CCCAGTGCCCGTGCATGCTAGGCGAGTACTCTACCACTGAGCCACAACCCCAGCCCCTTGTTAATGAATTTGATTGTTCTAGCTCAGTAAATCTTCACCTAATCTAATCCCCTGTCCATATTTCAATGTTTCTAATTGACTCCAAAATATCTTCTATAGTAATTTATTTATACCAATAGGGAATCCAAAATTGTGCATTGAATTGTTAAGCCCCTTAAGTCTCTCAGCAGTTTCAACTTTTTTTTTTTTTTTCCTGTATTAGGGATTGAACTCAGCACCTTGCACATGCTAGGCAAGCACTATACCACTAAGCTCCATTCCATCCCTTTTTTTCAAATTTTGAGTCAGGGTCTTGCTAAATTGCTCAGATTGCTTTCGAACTGACAACCCTCCTGCCTCAGCATCCTGAATAGCTGGTATTCCAGACATGCACCACCAGGCCCAGCCTCACCTATTTTTTTTTAAAACACTAATAATTTTTGCCAGAATCAATAATTCTATTGGAGTTCACAAAATGCTTTTTTTCCCCCCTCCAATTCTATCTTTTCTTCTTATCAACTAGGGTTTAATATATATATAAAAAAATAGGGCTAGGGCTGTAGCTCAGTGGTAGAGCACTTGCCTAGCACGTGTGAGGCACTGGGTTTGATTCTCAGCACCACATAAAAGTAAATAAAGGTCCACCAACAACTAATAAAATATTAAAAAAGAAAATAGACAGGGCTGGGGGTGTAAGCTCAGTGGCAGAGTTGTTAGCATGCACAAAGGCCCTGAGTCCAATATCCAGCACCAAGAATAACAGCAACAATTCTTCCAGTGGTCAAAACTCAATGCATTTGGGGGCAGAATTTAGCCTGATTGCTGTCACCTTCTGATCTACAGTCAAAGCCAGACAAAGTCTCACTCATCAATGCTCTGTACCCTGCGGCATTAGGTCTTTTATTTGTAACAATCAATTACTTTGCACTTGTTGACATGTTGCTTGTAATCTTCTCAAGTCATTTTATGTGTGTCTCCCTGGCTAGACTGTGACCTCCTCAAGGGCAGGGACTGTCTTGCAATATATTTCCCATGCTTTTCCTAAAGTCCTACTAAAGGTACTTTGGCTAGTTAGTCCTAATTAACGAAAAAGCACTGGTGAGAACCCAAAGTTTTCAATATTGTTGCTCGTGTTTCTTGTCTTTCCTGAATTCTCTGTCATAATGAAGTGTGAATCTCATTTACAATGATAAATAAAGCTTTTCTGCTCACTTGTGGAGTCCCTGTGATGGAACATAGGAAGAGAGGGAAATAGTCCTTTATTAGTCTTCAAAAGTTATAGTCTTCATTCAGCTGTGACCTTGGGTAAATCACATTATCACTCAGTTTCTATTTCTTCATTAATAAAATGAGGTAACTGGATTATCTTCTAAAATCAACCTCTCTTGGTTCTAACCTTCTAAGCCTAACTAGTACCTTTCAGTAGTTATTCCTCCTGACCTGTCCCTCCCTGCTTGTATGGCACCCTGGTTCCCTTCATTTGGGTCAGCACTATCCTTTCCAAGTAAGAATGGAGGTGAAATAACACCTGCAGTAAACAGAATTTGCCTCTGATGATTGTTCTCCTATCACAGTTAGACTGAGCTCATCTATAAGTCCCAGTAACAACTTGCTTTTGTTTTCAAGGTCAAGCCTTAGTCCTTTACAACTGGGGCCAAATGCATACGTTCCAAGGTCCTCAATAAGATTGGCACAGCAGAGGCCCAGTCTGCAAAGTAGAAAAGATCAGAGAGGACTGAGATTGGCTAGACCTTTGTGGAGCCTTATCATAAGAGCTCTGAATGACCCCAGCCAGCTCTAGGGTATTTATTGGTGTTTCTAAAACGAAAAACTATTAAATAAAGACGTTTTAGCTTACCTGTTTTTTTTCCCCCAATCTTTTATTTCAATACTATTGCTCTTCTTTTTGTTTATAGGTACAGTCTGAAGGCCTTATCCAACTGGCTTTATGTGCTTAGATATAGCTTTCTCTACCTCCTCCCAGACTGAGGAATCCCCAATCTAATTTATAAATGGAATCTTGGCATTTCCCTAGCCTCAAGAGCTCCAGGTGGTGGAGGGCAAGACAGACAGGTCTCTAAGGACTTAAGCAGAGAGAACCTCCCCAGCCTAGTTCTTGATAATCCACATTTGGGACCATGGCAACTAGAGGTGTCCAGAGCAAAGTGTTTAACTCTGCTGTCAGACCCTTTCTTCACCTCAGAACTAGTGGCTGCTGATGAAAATTGGGTGGCAAGTTGGCCAAACAGTGTCTACCTTCACACTACCTCATGAATTTTTCACTATCAATTGTAAATATTAAATAGAAAAATTAGGGCTGGGGATGTGGCTCAAGCGCTAGTGTGCTCGCCGCCTGGCATGTGTGCGGCCCGGGTTCGATCCTCAGCACCACATACAAAGATGTTGTGTCCGCTGAAAACTAAAAAATAAATATTTTTAAAAAAAAAAAAGAAAGAAGAAAAATTAAAGAGGAGCAGTCTCCCAGCAAATAGGAAAAATGGAGGCTCCAGGGTGGGATGCAGGACACACATGGGGAGCCCACCACTGATGATGTGGGGCAGCTGGGGTTATTCTATCACAGCCTGCTCTTCTAAGGTGTTATATCTTCCTTGGGAAGAAAGGAATAGTAGCCTATTGGCAAGAAGTGTCTTAGGGAGTCCCAGGGCTGGGATAGATCAGCACAGACCTAGAAGGAAAAGATCCAGTTAGATTAGGAACAGAGGGAGGCCAAAATCACAACAAGAAACAAAAGGTCAGATGACAGAGCAGTTAAGATCCCCAGAGTAAAAAAAAAAAAACAAAACTGAAGGGACAGATGTAAAGCTACACAAGTTTTTGGTTTTCCCAGGCCTACAGAACAAGTAGTCTAGTTTTAGAAAATTTATCTCTAAGAAGTACATTTCACCCACTAGTACCCTGTTGAATGAACCTGACCTCTCCCCCTCTCACTCAGAGGCCCCTTTTATGGAATTCCCAGGATGACTGGACATCATCTTGGAATAATCCCCAAGTGTGGAATGTCTTTTCCTGAGGAGTCAGCATTTTCAGTATGAGACTAAGTGATAGAGGTTAAGAAAATGGATCTGGCTAGGAATATAGCTCAGTTGGTAGAGTGCTTGCCTCACATGCACAAGGCCCTGTGTTCAATCCCCAGCACTATAAGAGAGAGAGGAAAAAAAAAAGGTCAATTCATCTACAATTAGTCTAAAATGAATATGTATCAAATCTGCAGCATTTTGAAAGACTTAGCAGATTCACCCTTTTTACTTATTACTGCTATTGTCTGTATGACCTTTAATTGTTAGTAAATAGAGTATGCCTCATGCCTATTCATTTGCTTATGATATATTGGCATTTTAACATTTTAACAGCAGTAGTACAGAAGTCAGACCAAAGCATCAAAGTCCTACTGAACTCCATTCCTTTTTTTGGGCACTGGGGATTGAACCCAGGAGGTGCTTAACCACTGAGCAACATCCCCAGCCCTTTTTATTTTTTGAGACAGGGTCTTGCTAAATTCCTTAGGACCTCAGTTGCTGAGGCCGACCTTGAATTTGGGATCCTCCTGCCTTCCAAGCTGCTGTGATTACAGGTTTGCACCACTGAGCCCAGCTCCATTACATTTTTTCAAGGCATCTAACTATAAAGAAATACTGGACTACGAAACACAAAAAGGGATACACAAAATGTTTGTGTCAATTGTATTTATTGCTAGAAACTTTAAACTTTTTTTTTAAAAAAGTGTTTGAAATGTAGATAATATAGCAAAAGACATCCAAGAAATCTCATTTACAAAGTGCTGCAAATTTGATAATTTTATGTAGCTGTTAACTCAGGAGTACTCTTGGATGAACAGATGTAAGTCCTTGAAATACCCAAAGCATGACAAAAAAGAATAGAACATCTAAAAGGATATACAAACACCCAAAAGGGAACTGAGCTTTTGGCAAATTGGTCATTAAATGAACTGAACTTTAAGCATAAATTTTAAGAGCTCTAGCTTTAGGTGAATTCAAGTTTCAGCCAAACTGACTAGAATCAACGTGTTTTGCTCCCTCCTGCTCCCCCCAACCTGAGTTTTGGGGTTGCAGTGAATATAATTTGAGATCCCTCTGAGAGATGGCAGGTCTGGAGCTACTGCTAGAGAACCAAGTATAAGAATGACCTGAGAAGAAGGGAATAACTGTGAGTGTATGCAGGCAAGCATACACACATGTATGAATGCACCCATGTGCACATATACTGGGCTGTAGGGCTCAGTGCACCTAAACCTGGGAGTGTGTAGGGAGAGGGACCAGCCTGAAGCTTCCTAGACATCCCGCCCAATAAGCTACACACAGAGAGACCTGCTCATTACCTCCCCAACTAAGCAGAAGAGCAACCAAGTACAGGCCCACATGAGTCCCTGAGAAACAGGCAATACCGGCAGCAGGGCCACCAGGAGTTGGTCCCCATTCCCAGAAGAGGGATGAGGAGCTTTCCTGGTTCTTAGAAAGAAAAAGGCTAAGAAATAACTTGTTAATAAAGTCCAGGATTTCCACCTCTTCATCCAGATATAGAGATAGGAGACTGTGACCCAAGTCTGAGTGGGTCACAAAAAATGAGGCATTCCCACAATGTCCTCTCCTCCCATAATCCAGAACATTGCTTGACTTATGCACGAACATACACTGGAGATATACATCATAATCAGACGTCCAGAAAGCATGGAACCCGTCTGAGCATATGCAATAGATCAGGATGCACATGTGGGAAGACCAGTCATCCCCACCCTGGCAATCAGAATATTCTTACTCCACATCCATTTGGAATGTTATGTTCTTTGGGTCCCTGGCCCTTGAGGTCATCCCCAGAGGACTACTCTGCCAGGATTCCAATGTATCCTTGCCTCAGCCTCGGAGGGGCCCCACTGGCCAGAGGAATTTGTCAATGATGGCGATGGCAACAGTGGTGACTGCAGCTCAGACATAGTTGGTAGGGGGCTGTCGGGCATTGAGTCGCTGCATGTGACAGCCGTGGCAGAGCAAGTGCCCATCTAGAGGGAAACAGCAGCAGCCTTCCTCGTCGCTCAGCTGCATCCGGCAGTCCTGGGGAAGAAAGAACCTAGTTCACCTTTGCCCAGGAACCCTGGACACTTGAGGACATCTAGAGTCTGCCCCGCTCAACACTAGACTCCTAAAGACTGGAAGTAAGGGTTGGGGTTGGTGGGTAGGGCTTGCCAGTGGGAAGATGGAAGAGAAACCTAAGAAATACCTCATCTGGACACCAGGTGTCGCTGCAGCTGCAGAAATAATGAGACAAGCCCCCATTTCCAGCAGTTAGCAGGAGTTCCCTAGTCTTAAAAAAAGTCTTGAATCTATGGAAGCCAGATTCAGAAAGACTTAAATACTAGGAATAGAGAGAGTGACTGGAGGACGAGCAAAAGACCAGAGATAAGTCAGGACACTTCCTGGTTTTCTCCCAAAGAAGCATACCTGTTCTAGTACTTAACTCATCCCCTCCCTCCCAATTCCATTTTTCTGCTCTGGACCCCAACACTCACCTCACAGTGGTAGCACTCAAAGTGATAATCACGGTCCATGGATATCACCCTCACAATGTCCTCACAGCCCTGAAAAATGCAGACCCCCCATGGAGATGAGAGCAGCATGGCACCCCCAACTTCCCTCCCTCTGCACAGGACTCCTCCTGCACCGATAGGAAGATGGACCAAGGCCACCAGAGTCTCTCTACAATCAAATAATCATAGGTAGCTTTAAGATGCTTTGGCAAATCCTTGGGGCACTTCCCCTCCCCCTCCTTGGTGCTTCCCCCATGCTCCTATGTGAAGAGAGGGGGTAAACGGCACAGAATATAAATAAAATAGGCCAAACTGAGGGCAAAGAGGACCAATAGGGTCTGATTCCTCAAGGGCCTTTGGCTTCCCTCCCTAAGCATACCTACAACTTAAATCATCTCTGGTTCCATGCTACCAGCCTTGAAGATTCTTTCACCTTTTTCCAGCCCCTACTTTGGTATTCGATGACCTCAACCTCACTGAAAGCTCTCCTCTGTTGGGATTGGGATGGAAGATATGGAATCTGAGCCCCTTGAGGCTATCGGACAGTCCAGGCCCGGATGTTAGGGTCAGGGTGGTGACCCCAAGAGCAAAGTCACACGGGAATCTTCCTAGAGTGCATTCCTCAGCACCACCACTTCCCAAGGGAACCCAGGCCACATATCCTTACCCTTTCTTAGAGGCAGCAGCACTGGCTACCTTGCAGAAGAACCCAGACATACTGACCTCTGAAGGGAGGATGGGTTGACCGCAGGCTGCACACTTAGGGGCATAATTTCTAAAAGAAAAAACCTAGTGATGAGCTGAGATTGAAGAATCCCTGGACCCAGTTCCACATGACACCCCCAGGGTTGGACTCACTTGTGGTAGTCAGTGACACAGTACACCTGGTTGGAGAAGTCCACTGTGAAGGGGACGCCATCTAGGCACTTGTTGCAAACGATGCATCGGAAGCAGCCTGGGTGATAGGACTTCCCCATTGCCTGAAGGATCTGGGTCATGGGGTGGAAGAATTAGTTAGTTTCCTTCCAGCCCCAGCTCTTTAGCTACCCTTTATGTTCCTTACTGTTCCCACTAACCTTGTCCAACCCCTTCCTGTAGGCTTACATGTAATTTGAGGGGACCAAGGAGTCTTAAATATAGAAGCCCTGAAAAAAGTAGTAGAGACCAACTGGGTCATTAGAGTTCAAACCTGGCTACAATATTAGGATCACCTAGGGAGCTTTTAAAAAATTACCAATGCAGCCAGGTCACAGCAGAGCTCACCAGTAGTAATCCCAGCAACTTGGGAGGCTAAGGCAGAAGGACTCGAAAGTTCGAGACCAGCCTCAACAACTTAAAGAGATGCTCAGCAATTTAGCAAGACCCTGTCTCAAATTAAAAAATAAAAAGGACTGGGGATGTAGATCAATAATTTAAAAACAAAACAAAACAAAAAACAAATAAACACCAATGAGTGGGTTCTACCTCAATCTTCTATCACAATTCACAATTCTGGTGAGGGGACCCCACATTAAACAATATATTATATATATATTTTTTTATTCTTCCCATGTTATCTGCTAGGCTGCCAGGGTTAGATTCATTGATCTGATCCAAACCCTTTTTTTTATAGAAAAGAAAACTGAGTTTCAACTGATTCAACCAGGATAAGAATAGGGATTAAGACCCAGGACATGGGGTTGGGGTTGTAGCTCAGTGGTAGAATGTGCCCCTAGCGGGTATGAGGCACTGGGTTCGATCCTCAGCACCACATAAAAATAAATAAATAGAATAAAGGTATTGTGTCTATCTACAATTAAAAATAAATAAATAAATAAATAAAAAGACCCAGGACACCAACTTCTAGCTCAGGCTGGAGGGCCTGGTTGTGCCTGCAGAATCAGGGAGGGGTCAGGTCACAGAAGCCTAGGATGGGACTCCATCTCAGGGGCATAGGGAAGGCACTATAAACAATTGCTCTGGGGAGGAATGGCAAGAATGTGATTCATCTGGTGATGGGTTTCTTTCCTGCAGTTTCACAGGCTCAGCAGAAGACACATCCCCTACCTTCTCCAAAATCAAGTGACCACAGACACAGCACTTCTCAGCTGCTTCCTGAAACCCTGAAAACTAGAGAAAAGACAGGTGGATGTTACCAGCTGAAAATGATGGGCGGAACCCTGGTGGGTTGCTAATAAGGGAGTTCCAGTGAGAGCCAATTCCACATCCAGGGGACCACTCACTCACCAGATAATCTTCCTCACAGTACACAGAGCCGTTGACACTGTAGAAAGCCTTGCAGCGCAAAGTTCTCCCTAGAACCAACAGGGAGGAGCTTGAACCTATCCCACAGCCCAGGCACAAGGCCCACTCTGGTATTCTTACTACCCAGTGATGCACTGTACAGGCATAGTGTGATTAAACTGCCCATTAGTGCTTTTCCTTCCCACACCCCTCCAATTTGCTTTGACTGCATTCCAGCCAACTTCTCTCCTCACTCCTTTGGCTCCTGCATCCTCAACAGTTTTCTACCATCCTCCCCCAAATGAATGCTTTCCCCTCCAGTGCCCAGTACATAGAGCCACCTGGGAGAACAAAGCCAACTGCATGCTGGAATACATAGAAAGAATCCCTGAACTAGGTGCTGTACAATGTGCATGGAAAAAAAAAAATCACATTGTCGAGGCTGGAGTTGTGGCTCAGTGGTAGAGCGCTTGCCTAGCATGTGTGAGGCACTGGGTATGAGCCTTAGCACCACATGAAAATAAATAAAATAAGATATTATGTCCAACTACAACTAAAAATATTTTTTAAAAAATCAAATTGTCACAGCCTTTCAACCTAGGAGTATCTTTGCCTCAGCACAGACATCCTGTGCTCAAAGACTTGTCTAGCTTCTTGAGATAGACTATGGAAGTCAGGACATACTGGAGTTACTGCAGGAACAAAGTGCTTTGTTGGGATCAAAATGGGTACCCTTGCCTGATGTACTGGTCTGTTTCCTCAAACTTGGAGGGACCCAGAATCTTCAGGGTCAAAGGCAGCCCAGGACTTTTTGCAAGCAGACAAGGCAGGACCATTTCCCATCTGACCAACTACCCAGGAACTGCTCTGTGGTGTCTCAATTGTCAGGGATGAGGGAGGAGTGAGAACTGGTGGAGAATAGTCAATTTTCCTATCTTTCGCCTTCTTCCCATCAAAATTTCCACTTCCAGCTGTCTGGTAGTTTAGAAGACCTGACTTAGAAACTCATGACATAGGGGAGGAAAGAGAAGGAAAGACAGACATATCCAGAAGAGGCCCTATAAAAGACAGACAGAGGAGTCTAAAAAGAACCAGGCAGAAGCTGGGGGAATGAGAGAAAAGCTGAGTGCTGGAGTCAGACAGGCAGAGATAGGAGATTAAAGGTTTAGCAAAGAATCAGAATGGCTAAGCAGTGGGGAAGGGGTAATGAGAGGTGAGGGAGGGCGGGGTAGGGGGAGTTAAGGCTGCTGGGAGCACCCCCCCCCCCCCGGGGGCCCCCCGCGCACAGCAGCGGGCATTCCTGGAGCGTGATGTCATCAGCTTGGCATGGCCTGGTGGCCTGCACTCTAGCGAGGTGGCTGAACTCTGACCAGCCAAGAGAAAACCCCCTCTCCGCCCCCCACAGCTCCCTACTCCCCCAGCCCACACCCCACCCTTCCCACATTCCAGTCTTTCACTGTCGCCCCAGGCAACTCGCTGCCCAAGACCAAACCCCACCAAGGAGAGACTGGAGGGCTGGGCGGGAGTCCAGGCTGGGCAAGCAGGGAGGCACAAGAAAGAGGGAGGATCGGAGAGGAAAGAGGCTGAACAGGGGCAGGGAGGATGGACTCCAAAAAGCAGACCCAGCATGGGGGAAGGAAAGCCAGGTAGAGCTGAGGGGGTAAGCAAGAGAAGGTGGGGCAGCTGTGGGCCTCCAGATACATGGTAGGGACCCAAGTCCCCACCAAGGTCTTGGAGCAAATGAAGAGACACAAGCTCTTCCCTGGTTCCCCCCAGCACTTGTAAGCATGGATGTGGGGAGAGGTAGGGGGAGTACTTGAGTGGCATCCACACTCACCACAGGAGCAGCAGACAAAGCACTGGGTGTGATAGAGACTGTCCAGGGCCTGGCAGGCATTGCTCTGCCCATAGATGCCTTTGTTGCACTTGATACAGGTGCCTGAGGGGAGAGAAGAGGTTGTCAGCATCACTTCCACCCTCGCCAAACCCCAGTTCAAATCCAGGACCCCACCCCCACCCCAAGCTTTCCTGAGTGCTTTTTCCTGATGTGTCAGAGGACACAGGCTCTCTTTACTGGGCTCCCTCCTGAGGAGAAGAGCAAGAAATGGGATGTAGCAAGGTCTTTGGAGGGGTAATTCCATTCTTGTTTACTTGATTTTCTGAGCATCTATTTTGTGCCTAGTACAGTACCCAATTCTGAAGAATGTCAAAGATAAGGTCCTTGGCCTTCAGATGTTTAGTTTCTGTTAAGCAGAAAACACTAAACAGGCAAGTCTGGGACAAATGGTCAGAGATGCACAGGGGCCCAGCAGAAGACAAGAAAAAAAAAAAACTTCCTACAGAAAGGAAGTTAGGCCCAGGAGGCCTCTCCAGAACTTCAGTTTTCCCATCTATAAAACAAGCTGCTATTGAGGTATGGAATGATTTCTCTCTGATGCACACTTTCAAGAACAGAGAGTAGGACCTCGCTCAGCAGAGGGCCTTGTGAGCATAACTCCTGTGCGGAGGTGGCTGCTGAGAATGCAGGTTGTGTTCTAGGGACCAGGTTTGCACAGGAAGGGGAAACGTGGCAGAATCCCCAGTGCCTCCCTGCCATCTATCACGCAAGAAACAGAGCTGAGCTGCAGTTCCCCCAACATCCCCTACTAAGATACATGCACCTGGTCTGGCACCCGCCTTTCCTGGGTGTGTTCTTTCTTCCCTCCACTCCCCAATTCCAGGCCCATGAGTGAGGGCTAGGGCCTGTCTTTGGGGAGCAGATCCCAACGGGCCCGCCCCACCTTTCTCCCTGGGCACACTGCCACACTCCCTGCCTGTTGGGGCCCATCCCAGTCTTTGCCCAGGGGCTTGGGAGCCTGTGCAGCAGCTGCAGCAACTGATGGGCCCAGGCCTGTCCTGCTCCCACCCTCTGGCAGCTGGGCAAGGCTGAAGCCAAGGAAGAGGGCCCCTACCGGGGGCAGCAGTAAGAGGGTACAGTCAGACTAGGACTGAAGCTGGTAGGGGGGCTCTGTCAGGGAAGACAACCTGATGTCCAGGGATAGGAAACCTCCACCTCCAAATTAAAAATGTGTCCTCCTCATGGAAGAGGAGATCTGCCTAAGATTGCCATACCAGGGGTCTTTCAGAGCTATTCTTTAGGGAAGCTTTAGATACTAGTGAAAGACAGGAGGAAACTGCTCAGGCATGTCTAACTTACCTCCTCTCACCCAACATATCCACACCTAAAATCATCCTGCTATTTTATTGCACTTTCTCTGAGTTCCTTTCTTCATTTTGGCTCAGATGGTTTAGCCAAAGAGACTTATTTCCCAGATACCTCTCCAGGCCTCAAAAGGAAACTGCTAAATGGGCCCTGTCACTCAGTCTCCTTTGATCAAAATAATTTAGCATCACCTGCTCTAGGCCTTTCTTTCCCATGGTGGGAGAAATAAATGGGCTGGGGGGTTGAACTATGCAGGCCCTTCCATCCTGCATGTCTGCTACCTCTGAGCTTCCTCTCCAGCTATCTCTCTCTGGCAGCAGTTCCTCTCCTTATTCACATTTCTAGCCAAGGACTTCTACAGCCTGGAATGGAGGGCAGGGAAGTGGATAGTGAGAGAGCAGGGGAGAAGATACTTGGAAAACTGAAGAGGCCCACAGTTCTGGGGATTGAGCCCTCCTCTACACCATCAGATTAGCATTACTTTATATGATGAAGTAGTTTGTGGGGGTTAGACTAAAAAACTGTCTAAAATCCCACTTAACCCTCTAGCTGAAACATGTAATCAATCAATACTTCTTCAACAAGTATTGTGGGTGAAGGAGGCCACCACCAGGTTTCTCTTAACAGCAGCAGGAAGAAGGGGCTACTTTCAGCCTGAATTCTGAGCAGTTAAGGCCAGAACTCCAGGCCAGATTATTTTTGGCAGTCACACAGGGTCGATATCCATCCAGGGTGATAGTTGTCCAGTGGTCAGGACTTTTGCCCTCACTTCCAGAAGATGAGGAAACAGGCTGGTACCACCTGATCTCTGCTTCAATGCCCATGCGCACCTCGTCAGGACTGGGGATGAGCAGCACCTGGGTCCCTGTTTTCCGTTCCAGGGAGCTCCATTTCCCAGACAGCGGCCACGGTTCCTCGTGTTCTAGGAAGCCTTCCCCCCCACAACACGCCCAGATCCTGGGCGCACGAGCGCACCCCACTCCTCGGCTGCGGTGGGCCCCGCCCGCGGGCACCTGGAGCGCCCGGGCAGGAGTCGGCACGCAAACTGCCCGCCCTCCCCGCCCCCCTACCCGCGCATTCCCTGAATTCCTGCGGGCGGAGCCAGGGCCGGGGTGGGGGCGCGGCACGCTGAAGCCTGTAGGGGCACCGCCGGGAAAGGGGAAGTCGGGGGGTTGGGGGATGCTCTCACTGCTTCACTAGGTCCCCTCCTTACAAGGCCTCCAACAGCGAAAACCTAAGGTTCTCTAATGCGTGAGAAACTGGGACTCACGAGATATTCAGGGGGTTTGAATTTAGCCCGGTCCATTTGCAACCCAGTGGGAAGGGGATAGCACTCTGAGGTCCGCCCCCATCCATCCCTCCCGCCGCTTTTTTCTGGTCCAGCGTCTCCTCCTTGGACCCCGGGACACAGGCAATTTGGGCCGTCGGGGCACTGGAGAGCCAAATGCTGAGACGGATCCCTCTCAGTCCCTAGCCACTTCACTCTCACTTACCGAAGTAGTCCTCTCTGGCCTCTGGCTCTCGCATCCGGGCCCGGGCAGCCTCCGGAACGAACGGACCCTGCGTCTCCTCGAGACCCGATGGTTCAATCCCCGAGGGTTCCCCGCGGGCGCCGGCTTCTCGCCCACCGGTGCCTACCGTCAGGCGCAGCAACGCAGTTAGCTCGTCCTGGTATCGGGCGCCCGCGGCGCAGTCCCCGTAGCCAGTCACCGAGTGTCGTCCGGGTTGAGTCCCACGTCTCTCCAAAGGCCCCGCCGCTCCCACTCCGGCCCCGGCTAAAGCTCCGGGGCTGCCCAGAGCCGGGGGATATGAGTGGCGGCTTTCCTGGCAGCCGAACCCCCGCGGGCCAGCCCCGCACAGTCGGTCCAGGGCGGCATGGAGCTCCGGGTAGGCAGACGGGACCCCTCCGGCGGAATAGCCGACCAGAGCCCCGCTCAGGGGTGGGCCAAACAGGCACGGCCCTGCGGGCAGAGGGCTCCCGTGGCGTTGGTCGTAGCCCATGCTGATGCCACTGGTACGATTACTGCAGGGCCGGCTACCTCCGGCTCCTCCAGCTCCCGCCCCGTCCAGCAGCAGGCTGCCGCGGGGACTGGACGGCTTACTCGCGTCGCTGGCTGAGCTACTGGCGAAACTGGAGCGGGGACTCAGGGCCGGAGCCGTGGTCTCCAGCCGGAAATCTGGGGGTAACGACTGAGGTAGAGGCAAGGCCCGGGTGGGCGGCGGCCCCCCGGGAAAGGAACCTTCGTAGCGCTGCGCCTCAAAGGAGCCGCGCGGGTTCCGCTCAGCGTCCTGGGGGCCTTGCTCCCGGGCTGGCTCCAATGTCTCATCTCCGGGTCCCCCAGTAGCTCCTCGGGGCCCTGATTTCCTAGGTCCCCCCAGCCCACTCAGGCGTCCCTTGCCCGGCCCGGGGGTCCCATCAGACCCAGTCCGGCTAGCTTCACCCTTTCTGCGGCCGAACTTGGCGCTGCCGGAGTCCGAGAGTCTTAACTTCTCTAGCAGGCGACTGGCTTTCTCCCCTAACCGCTCCATATCCTCGGGCCTGGGGCCTCCAGCCCCCTCCCCACCTGGCACCCTGCAGGGTCTCGGCGGCCGCTTCTCTTTCCCTGCAGCCGGACTCCGGTTCCCCAGGGGCACAGGATAGGCACAAGGGCTTAGCGGACGGCCCGGGTTCCCGGCGCTGGGAATCCCACAGCATCCCCCAGAGGGAGGGACTGCGACCTCCCGAGCATCTGGGGTTAAGCGGGGATAGAAGGGTCTGCAGCCACGGCTGTCCCGTCCGCAGGTCTACCAGTTCACGCGTCCACTCGCCCCACAACCAGACTGTTCTGGGCCCCCGCCCCCCTAGCTCTCACACTCGGCACAAACCGAACTTCTCTCCCAAACTTTTGTCTGCTCGGCCGGATCTACTTTCCTGGAAGGGCGGAGCGCTGTGTGTACTAGAGCAATGGGGGTGTCTGCGCAGGGATCTCTGGTGTGTAGCGAGGAGGGGGTCACCAAGGCTAAGTGCCCTGCAGGTGGAGATTCGACAGGACTCGAGAGGAGGGCAAGAGGCAGTTTGGGCAGCTGTGGCCCCAACACTTTAGAATTGAAACAGGAAAAAGTGTAAGGGAAGAGAGAATGGGGACTCTTTATTTGCAGTTGGAATGCGCGGAGGGGCACTGTGGAATGTCATGCGTTCGGCAAGGGGTGATCGAGGCATGTTGTGCGCAAACACCGTGACTTTGTTCCTAGTGTGGGTACTGCAGGAGACTTGGAGAGAGACTGTACAGAAGTGGTAAGATAGGGAGGAGCCCAAAGTTGAAGACAGGAAGAAAGAAAAAAGGTAAATACATAAAGAGGTTTAGAGACCTGTAGGTAAAGATAGCCCTGAAAGGCAAGGATTCCCAAAAGAATAGGTTTAACAGGTAGCGAAAGGGAGAGCCAAGGGGAATCTGGGAGGTTCAGAGACCAAGGGATGTGTAGACAAAAGAAAGGACAAGTTGGTCTTGAGAACTTAAGAGACAGATAAACTGCAATAAAAGACACAACTTTCTGGACTCACAGTTCTGTGGCGGTAGAGAAGGAGAGTGGAAGATTTATGTGTTTGTAGAAGCAATGAAAAGGAGTAAGAAAAAAAGTTGGGGACTGATCCCCACTTTATGAAGGAAGGAAGGAGATTAAAGCAGTGAGGAAAAGGTTTGGAACTCATTGCTACCTGAAGGGTAGGAGAGATGGAAGGATAGATAGACACCCCCTGGTGTTGGGAAATGAGATTTTTAGCAAATATTTCAGGTGATTGGGCGGATCCAAGGCCTGGTTAGGGAACATATCCCCCATCCCCACCCCCTGATGCCAGCCAACTTTCCTTTTTAGTTTTGGTTGTCACAGAATGTTGATGACAAAGAAGAAGTATGAACTTATGAGAGGAAAAGAAATGCCGTTTAGAGGAAGTAGCGAGTAAAAGGAATGAGGGGGAAAAAGGAAAAGAGGCTGATACTGGCCATACTGGAAGAACCAAGAATAAAGAAAAGGCCAGGGGGTGTACAGTGCCTGCCTAGCAGCATATGCTAGGTCCTGGGTTGGATTCCCAGCACAGCAAAAAAAAAGAAGAAGAAACCCTGGCTACAGCTAAAGAGCCCAATGATTTTGTCCAGACTAGCACATCAGGGACATGGGGTAGAGGGAGTAGAATGGAGAAGGCTAATGACTCCTTTGTATTTAGCTATTAAATGAGTATGAAAATTACATGCAAATAAATTATGCACATTATTTTCATCTCAACATTTTGAACACCTTTTATAATTTTAGTGTAGCCTTGGGGAATGGGGAAGAAAAGGTTAATGTTTTTGGGAAATGCATTTGGCACAAACTATTTGATGTCTTTGCACAAGTTGCATTGTCTACCAGACCTCATCTCTCCAGAGAATCAGCTTGTTTCCCTGGTCAAGCCTATAGCTTTCTTTGACCCTTAGGACAGCTCACTGTCAAACTGGAAGCTGGGAGGACTGAAAGCACTGGTAACAGAGGGAGCTATCAGATTACATCTGGAACCTGTTGTAAAAACATCTTCAGAATTAACCATAATTTTGCATGCACAAGGCCCTGGGTTCAATCTGCAGCACCACAAAAAAAAAGAATTAACCATAATGCTCTCCCTCTTCCTTTTCTGACTCCACATGAGGAAGGAGAACCCAGATTTTTTCCTTCCAGGTTACTTATATTTGATCCTTTGGAGTGAGGATGAGAGAGTAAATCTTGTGAAAAGTTCTCTGGGGAAGCCATTGAAAAGGCCCACCTTTGGGTGGTGGCAACAATGGGCATAGTTAAAACGAACAGCTTGTGTTTTCAGGGGACAACAGAAACCAGAGAAGAGTGAAGGGAAAGTAGGGTACCTGATAGGACGTGCTCCAACAGTGCTTATGACTTCAGGGTAGCCATTCCACAGTCTGAACTGGAACTGGGAGCTCCAGAGGCTTCTTTATCCCCAAGACTTTAATTACAAATCTGAATCTCTAGCCCAGACTTTCTTAGACTTAAAAACTCAAATGAAAAAAAAAAACTCAAATGACTACTAGCATTTCCACTTGGTTGTCTCAGAGATACCCAACACCCTAAATTGAGCTCATTTTTCCTGCTTCCTGCAACTGGCTCCTCCAGCACCATTGGCCACTTAGTTGCTTACACCAGACACCTAAGCATCAACCCTATATTTTCTTAACTTCAAATCCTAGAGTCCTATCAGATCTGCTTCCTAAATATCTTTCAAGTCTGTTTTCACCTGATCACTAGTATATAGTGTCTGTCTTGTCTCTCTTAAACCAAAGCAAGAGTGCCCAGACAAGTCTGTCTTCCTCCAAAATCAATCTTATACCCTGAGGTCAAGTGATTCTTTTTTTCTTTTTTTTTTTTTTGTGTGTGTGTGTGGTGCTGGGGATCGAACCCAGGGCCTTGTGCATGCAAGGCAAGCACTCTATCCACTGAACTATATCCCCAGCACCTCAAGTGATTCTTACAATACATAAAACTGATCATCTCATTTTTCTTCTTAGAACCTTTCAATGAATCCTCACTGTCCTTGAACTAATGTATATATTCTTTTTTCTCTTTCTCCTTTGTACACGTGTGCATGTATGTATTTTACTAGGAATTGAACCCAGTGGTGCTCTACCACCCAGCTACATTCCCAGCCCTTGTTATTATTATTATTATTTTGAGATAGGGTCTCCCCAAGTTACCCAGGCTGGCTTCAAACTTGTGATCCTCCTCCCTCAGTTTCCTGAGTAGTTGGGGATTACAGGAGTGTACCATCATACCCAGCTAATGTCTTTCTTCTTTAGGGTATTTTACAAGGTCTCTCTTGACTCTTCAGACTCTTTGCAATTTTCCCCTCCCCAAACTGATCTGCAGTAAAAGTACTCTCTTTTGCTTCTGGGCTTTTGTAGATGCTGTCTCCTGTTTGGAATACTCTCCATGCCTCTTCCCTTCTGGTTAACTCCTCACATCTTTCAGGTATCAGTTTAAACATCACTGCCTCTGAGAAGCCTTTCTTGACTTCAAGAGTAGGGTAGCTAACCCAGCTACATGCTGCCATTGCACTCTGCATTCCTACATGGTCTCCCTTATTACAACTTATTTCATTGCCTACTCAATTTCCTCACTTCCTGACTAAAAATAAAACCTGATCATCTAGAACCTTATCAGCAGTATATCTGTAATACATAGTACCTGACACCTACTAAGCAATCAATATTTGTTGTTAAGATTGAGTGAATGGATATAAGGCCATTTTACTTCTCAGTGCTTTCAACAAAAAAGCATGTGTGTGCACACACCTACATCTTCTCCAAAGTACAGCTTGGTTGACAGTATGAAAAATAACTATGTGTATTCTGTTTGGTCATAAAGTGGGAGAAAAGCCGACAGTGAGACATTGGAACTCTTACAGCTTTAATTTCCTCATCTGTAAGATGGAGATAATAAAATCTTCCTTATATAATTCAATAAGCAGTAGTTATTATATCTAGATTCCAGTCCCCAAACAGTGATGGAGTCCACCTTCTTTTGCTCATAAGAATCAAGCCCATGACTGAAACTTACCACCAGGTGGCAGTATTACCCTGGACTGGTCCATTCTGCTTCCTCTGCAGAACTGGACCTGCAGTCATGGGGAAGCAAAAGGTACAACCAGGGCTGCTTTCCCTGAGCCTTGGGGGAAAATGACTCAGAGAGAGAGAGACATGTGTCAAGAAGGGTTGGTATTTCTTAGACCCATCCTCCTTTTCTCATGCCATGCTCCTCCGTGGCACTGTTTATGCTTAGGAATAAGCATTTTCTGGCTTGCCATTCACAGTGAGGGTGTTTTTCCCCTTCTAGATAAGTCTTTCACCCGACCAGAGAGAGCTTCTAGCTTCCACTTCCAGGAGAGACTATGTTAAGAAGTGAGTCAAACTTTCTTTCTCAGACTGCAGAGGGCTTTTCATTATTCTGGGAAGCCCCACAGTCACCCATTTATGGGACAGGGAGAGTGGCAGAAGCCAGAATTATTCTTGGTTATAGACTTCACTCATCCTTTTCCACCTTGATTTCGATGAATGAGTTCAAGTCAGGACAGCAGGTTTTGTGGGGTTGGTCAAACGATGGAGAGATGGGTCCATTCTCATTTCCTCCCTCTTCTTCCTCATCTTGGAAATTAGGATTGTAAAGTTCTGGTGGAAGGAGCTGGGCTTCAGCAGAAGGCAGTCTGTCTGAGGGAGGCCCATATACACGGTTGGCCTTGGTGCCATGCTTAGAGTTAGCATCCAGGTGATAGCAGAGCTCTGTGAGGCGCTGGGCCCGGAAACGAGGAGAGCGGGCAACCCAGACACCTGGCTCATTAAGACTGTCCTCCTCATCAGACATCAGCTCTTCTGTCACATCTTTCCACAGGTTTTGGTCCTCAGGTCCAAAATGCCTCATGATGCTGGATCGGTTGGCAAAAAGCTAAGATAGGAGCACACGACAGACATCAGGAAGAGAAACAGACTATGGATTAGGTTTGGGGAAAGGGTTTAGGTAGGATAGAAGGCAGTGTAAAGTCTGTGCCTAGGGGAACCCAGTTTCCTGGTCAGATCTTAGAATTGGCTCACCCTCTTTTCTCCTCCATCAGCCTATGTTCCTGGCTCTGAACCCCATTCTTAGACACTATGTCTGCTGGCTCTTCTCCTGGCACTTCTTAGGATTTAGGGTTTAACATCTTGAAAGGAAGGCCTAGAGACTTACCCGGTATCGGCGACTTCGAAGTTTCTTCTCCTCTTTTTCCTTCAGACCTTTAAAGGGGTTCAGGGAGTTTCGATACTCACGCCTCTTGGTGAGGAAGTAAGCCACACAGGCTCCTGAAGGAGGGAAGGAAAGCAAAAAGAAGGGTCCTTCAGAAGTGGTCCCCAGCCCTTTTTTCTGCCCTACACTAGAAGTTTAGAATCACTATTTAGATGATAGGCTTCCTTGACATACCCACTAGCATCTATTTAGTCGTCTTTGGTTTAATACCCTTTGCCCACCTCCATCTCCAACACCGACACCTCCCAAGTGATCTCCAACACCAACTCCTCCCAAATCATCTCCTGCTGCAAAAAGACAACTCCAGTTGCTTTCCTACCTCCTCCTCCACTAAACTGACACCTATTGTCACTGTGTCGATAGCAGAGTTCAAGTACTTTTTTAGTGGAAGCTTTCATAATACTTCAGCATTAGTTATAAATATTAGAAGAGAGCAAGGCCAAGCCTAGCTTCTGACCTCAGATTAGGGCTCTACATAAACATAATGCATGATGGTCTTTAGCCCTTTCCTTCTATTTTTTTTTTCTTTCAGACTGAGTAGGGGGGAAAAAGTTGACTTGAGGTAACCCTGTGAATACATGTAGGTGAAAAGAATAGTGAAAAAAAAAGTATTTACAAATACTCTATTTTCAACAACACATAAATCTTCCCCATTATGCCTCTTTTCCTCTGGGCAAGAATCAGGGAGTAAGACAGAGGGAAGAGAGGATGGATGGGAGAAAACTCAGTTTTCCTCACCTTTCAGTTCTTTATCAGTATAATTGTGGGGACTGGTGACCAGCTCCTGCTTGAGCTTTTCCAGAAGGAACTTCACTACTGAAATATTCCAAGAGGACTTGATGCTGCCACAGAGAATAGAATGAATGAAGCAGTAGGTTTTTTAAAAGCCAGACAGAGACACCCAGCACTAATTAACTTTGTGGTAAATTCCTCCTTGGCCTAAGACAGGATACAGGGGCAATGGTAAGGCCCCAGCCTCATTGTTGGATTGCAGCGACTCCCTCTACTTCCCTCTCCTTAGCAAAGTACCTTGTGATCTTTTTTCCTCAAGTACCATACCTTTCAGACCCATTGAATCTCTTGTCATTGGTGATGTGGTTATGCACATTGTGGACCAATTTCTAAGGGGGAAAAAAAAAAAAACAGAATAAATCCAGGAGTGGATATTATGAAAACCCTCTTCTGGTCCCTAAGGTAAAAGACATTATTCCTACAGGATTCTCTGCCTGAATCCTTTCCAAAGCCTAGATACTTTTTTTTTTTTTAAAGTGTATGTGTGTGTGTGTGTGTGTGTGGTGCTGGGGATCAAATAATCCAGGTCCTTGTGCATGTGAGACAAGCACTACCAACTGAGCAACATCCCCAGCCCTAGGTATCATTTTTGTAAAAGGTGAAAGAGTTATATGATCTGAAGAGAAACTAGAGTATAAGTAACATTTTTGTAAATGACCTTTCTTAGAATCTGTATCTTCTCTTCCCTCCCTCCCTCCCTCCCTTCCTTCCTTCCTTCTTCCCTCCCTCCATTCCTTCCTTCTTCTCTCTCTCTCTCTATCTCTATCTCTGTATCTCTTTCTTTCTGTACTGCATTTGGAAACCAGGGCACTTTAATACTGAGCCACATTCCCAACATCCCCAGTTCTTGTTATTTTTTATTTTGTAACAGGTCTCCCTAAATTGCTGTGTCTGACCTCATACTTGGGATACCCCTGCCTCAGCTTTCTGAGTCACTGGGATTGTAAATGTGCCAAGTGAGCATTTCTAATGTCCCCCACTTTTTTTTTTTTTTCTTTTTCATTTATTTTGTGTCAAGACTCCAGGGCCTGTTCTGTCTTCTGCTTCAGAGTAATGTGATCACTAGAGCAGTTGGTGTCAAACAATTCATGAAATACCCCTAATAACAAGGAAGAGAGCAAATTTATACCAAAACTACTGTAAGTGAGTATTTCTTAAAGTCCCGTACTCTTGCAAACTTGTATTTCTTTCTTTCAGTGCTGGGGATCAAACTCAGGGCCTTGTGTACACTAGGCAAACACTTTACCACTGAGCTGCACCCTTAACCCATCTCTTCCATATTTAAAACATTCTTCAAAATATATTTGCATTTATTTGAATATAAAAATGTCTTCTGGGGCTGGGGTTGTGGCTCAGTAGTACAACGCTCGCCTAGTGTGAGGCCCTGGGTTCGATCCTCAGCACCACATAAAAATAAATAAATAAAATAAAGGTATTGTGTCCAACTACAACTAAAATATAAATATTTTTTAAGGGCTGGGGATGTGGCTCAAGCGGTAGCGCGCTCGCCTGGCATGCGTGCGGCCTGGGTTCGATCCTCAGCACCACATACAAACAAAGATGTTGTGTCCGCCGAAAACTTAAAAAAAAAAAAAAGTCCTCTAAAATCTTTTTTTTTTTTAATTTATTTTTTAGTTATAACTGGGCACAACATCTTTATTTTATTTATTTGTTTTTTTATGTGGTGTTGAGGATCGAACCCAGGGCCTCGAACGTGCTAGAAGAGTGCTTTACCACTGAGCCACAACCCCAGCTCTGTCCTCTGAAATCTTCTAGTAAAATTGATGACCCAAGATAATGTCCCAGCTTTGGCCATGGCTTTATATATCCCTTTGCATATTATCATAAGTCCCAGGGGCACACATACCATAGTCTGATAAACACAAACCTAAAATCACAAAAATGTGAATTGGAAAGCACCTTGGAGACTGTCACCAACCTCCTTTTCATGTCATTAAGTTTCTGTTTTTCAGTTTTGCTCAAAACACATCTAAATGTGCATTTTCCATTTTGAGTCAGCTGATCCTATTATTAAACACGTTTAATTGTTAAAAAGTTTTGCCTTACATGCACCAAAAGTTGAACCCAGTTTGCCTGTACTTCAGGTATTTGAAGATGGCTTTCATGGACTCCTTAAGTCGTCTTCTTTTTTTCATTTGATACCAGAGAGTGAACTCAGGGGTGCTTACCCACTGAGTCAGATCCCCAGCCCTTTTTATGTTTTATTTGGAGACAGGGTCTCCCTAAGTTGTTTAGTACTTCATTAAGTTGCTGAGACTTGCTTTGAACTTGTGATACTCCTGCCTCAGCCTTCCAAGCCACTGGGATTACAGGCATGCACCACCACACTGGCCTTAAGTCTTCTTTTGTCTGACCTGACACCCCCCAATTCCTTTAGGCATTCCCCATAGTTTTTAGACATATTCATCAGAATATGTCTAAAAATATACAGACATAATATAGGAGGCTCTCTGATTTACCAATATCTCTCTTGCAAAGTGGTACCTGGGGGTGTAGCTCAGTGGTAGAGTGCTTGTCTAGCATGTGTGAAGCCCTGAGTCCAATCTCTAGTTCACACACATACACACAAAGCAAAATGGCATCTAGGACCAAATCTAACTTGGCTAAGATCTGGTCAGAGGGAACATTACTTCCCAACTCTATACTACTAGGAATAAAACTCAAGGTGGCATTTCCTAGCAATCCCATACCTTCTCATAACATCACAATTGGTGCTTTGAACTTTTTTTTTTTTGTACCAAGGATTGAACCTAGGGCACTTTACCAATTGAGCTACATTCCTAGCCATTTTTATTTTATCATTATATTAACTTATATTTTTATTATATTTAATTTATTTTATATATATATACACACACACACATACACGTATGAGACGTGTGTATATGTTTTTTGTTTCTTTATTTTTTTTTGCCATGCTAGGGATTGAATCCAAGGACACTCTACCCCTAAGCTATAATCCCAACCCTTTTTTTATTATTAATTTTGAAACATGATCTTGCCAAGTTTTCCAGTCTGGCCTTGAATTTGTAATCCTCCTGCCTCAGCCTCCCAAGTAGCTGGAATTACAGGTGTGTACCAAAGCACTCAGTGCTAGCTTCATATTTGATATTGTTATTTACCTCTTAGAAGTCTAAACTTAGGGCTGGGGATACAGCTTAATTGTGGCTTTGATCCCCAGCACCACACACACACAAAAAAAAAAAAAAAAAAAGAGAAGAAGAGAAGAAGAAGAAGAAGTCCAAACTTAAAGACACACAAAGGAAGGTGAATGCTTCAGGAAGAATTTGGGAAAGTTTCCAAAAAAAAAACAAGGAAAAAAGGGATTTATATAGCTTCTAACTCAAGTGGCTTGGAAGAGATCAGGTGATAAAACTCAAATCAGGCTTAAAGTGGAAAGGGAGAATACTCTAGACAATAAATGTTAAGACTGTAGAGGCTGCTGGCTCACCTATCTCCTCAGTGAGCTAAAAATAAATGTTTCTCAAGGGTAGCGGGAATCTCCAGCATTCCAAAGAATTAAGGGTTCTGGTTTGCTCCTTTTGGTTCACAAGATAGCTAGCAGATTGGAGAGATGGCTTTTTGATTCCTTCCCAGAGCTAAAGATTGGAATAGTCAAGATCTATGCTATCCCTCCCTTTCCAAACCCACATTCTAACACAAAAACACTTTAAACTTTTTTTCTGTGACAGGCAGCAATATTCCCTGACCGAACCTCTAGATCCTTTTCAAGAGCTATAATAGAGAGCATGATGAGCAAGCACTGTCCTGCCACTAGGTCCCCAGATCCACTGATATCTCCAAAGGGAAGGAAGAAGCCAGGTCTCAACACTATACCTCTCTCTGGAGACAACAGGCAGAAATGGAATAGAAGTGATAGAAAATCTTGATTTTTATACAAATTATAGTTATCACACATTTATTTATGATTTAAACAATATGAAGTTTTGGGAAACCCCTTGAAATGCGTTTTGAGACACATGCCTCCATTTATCTTACTGACAGCAGGAGTAGCCTCCTTGGCTACAAACCCATGACAGAAACTTGCTCCTGTTCTTAAGTGAAATGTTCTTGAACATAACTAAAATTCGAAGTCACAGTTAAAAACAAGTTGTCATTGATTATGAATGGTATATTTCAGGGGGAACAAAGAATCTCTGATATAAAAGCAAATAAAATGAAAGGAAGAGTAAAAATGGGATATCTGAGGGGAAAAAGGAAAGGAAGACTGAAGCAATATAAATAAAAGGTGTTTAAATGGTGATCATTATTTTCAACCTTTACTAAGACGTAAAAAGAATGGGCCATCTAGTGTGATGGGATTTAGGCTGATTTGAGTGAGATGGCATCCAGTCCCAACCAGGACATTCCAGTCACTTTACGTCAGCCATTATGCAGAGAAGGTTCAATAGGAACATTATATGGCTAAAGAACATCCCTATAGTTATTAGAAAGTTTTGGGACAGAGTTGATCCAAAACACTGTGGTCACCCTAGAAGATGATTTTCCAACCTTCACACAACTGCCAACTGTTAGGGGGCTGGGTATGCACTGTAGCATGTTCAGCAGAATACCAGTTCTCTACCTGCTATATGTTAGTAGCATTCTCCCTTCCTTCCACCCACCTACCAGAGATAATGACAAGAAATGTTTCCAGTAGGTTCCAGATGTCCCCTGGGAGGAGGATTATCCCAGGCTGAGAATTACTGCCCTAGAAGACCTTTAGGTTTGGATCATTTGCCAAGATGGGGGCTCCCAGCTGCACAGGGTGTTCCTAAGGGCTCCCAGCTATTCCAAGAAGATTTTAAGCAGATGTAATTCAATCTAGTTCCTTCCTGTCAAGAGCTCTTGGAATGACTAGATTCTCCAAATCTGTATAACTGAGCTGGGTGTATAGTGGCCCTCAGCATATTTGGGGTCTGGGACTACCTTGGGACTGCCTGGCTTCTTCACCCACGGGGCCCCTTACTATTTACCCTGCTCATGGGCTAAATTGCCATACTGTGGTGATGAATCTGCTCAATCCCTTAAAGATATTCCTATCAGGATTATGAGAACACTGGAAGATTCCACTCTATTTAGAAAACTCTAAAAACTCGAATGTTAGCAGAGATACTGCCTAATCCCTAGGGCTGTGGAATAATCTCTCTCCTTGTCCCTCCTGCTCCAGTAGGACTCAGGACACCATTTTTTCGTTATAGGAGGCTTAAAATCAACCCACCCTCCCTCTTCACTTCTCTCTCCAGACTGAAGAAAAAAATGATAGAAACTGAGCTCACTTACAGAGAGTACCAGATCCCGCTTTCGCCTGGAGTTCTTCTGCCCACTCCCTCTGGTCCTGCATGGGGAAGCAGTGATCCCTAGAGAGTGCCTCAACTCCCCAGTGCTCCCGGAGCCTGACTCTTCCAAGGCACTGTCCAACGCAGCGGCAGCACTGAGCATGTCCTCAGGGCGGGGTGGTGGCAGCTTGGTTCCATTTTCTGGCACTGACTCTGAAGATGCCCGCTGGATAGCCAGCTGTGTGGCTGGTGAAAGCTGTTTGGCATAAGCTGGGACCAGCACACGCTGTACTGTACCCTCAGAGGCCACATAATCATCCACCAGCTAAAGACATAAAAAAGAATAATCTATTAACCTGCCAGACATAGGGGAACCTGGTCAACTATCATTCTTTGGCTGAGAATAGTGAACAGAGAATGGAAAAAAGTAGGGGAATCTTTAATGTCAATGGCTTATTTCTCTGGGACTCCTATGGGAGTGCTGGGCAAATAATTCTTGCATATACAGGGCCCCTTGTGTTGGGTTCTTACCATAGGGCTACTTACAAGGCCAAGGCATGTTTCTGATGCTTATTTGTGAGCAGTCATTTATGATTTGCTCTTGAGTATAAGAAATGTAGCTTCGTAAGTATTGTGTCTAAAAGGGATTAGGAAGGCAGTAATGACAAGAAAGGGAAACCAAGCAGGAAACGAAGCAAGAAAATTAAATAGTAATAACAATAAAGAGGGAAAATAAGAGGAAAACAGAGAGCAAAGCAGGAGATTCTAGAGAGGAACCCCTAGAGAGGCCATGTGGACAGCACCCCTTACCTACCCTCTGTTCCCTTTCAGGGGCCAGTCTGTGCCCTCACCTTGATCCTGGCCTGGCCATAAACTGTCGAAGTCCTGACATCCAGCTGACTGCCTGTGCCCTCATTCAAGGACATGCAGGGCAGGGAAAGGAAGGAGGCAGAGAGGGAGGAGAAAAGGAGGGGGATTTCTGCAGCCAAGAAAACAAAACAGTGGAAGTGGTGGTGGGGAACCACACACACACACACAAACACACACACACACTCACTCACACACACACACACACACACACAGAGAAAGAAGTGGGGAGGCGGCTGAGATTTATAGACCTGTGAGCTGCTTTCTGCGCTGTGAAATCTAATTCCATCCTGTCGGCTTGGAAGCTTTCCCTGCCTGAATGAACCCATGATTCAGGACACCTCCGAGCTTGGTACCCTCTTGCCTCTTGCCTTCTGGTTCCTTCTCCCTGAGGCGCAAACCACTGAAAGTCCTGACCAAGCACAGTGACTATCATCACAGGGCTGTGCCTTCAGGAGAGCAATGGCCAGTTGTGGTGTCAGCTAGAGAGGAGGAGGGGAGCTTATACACTCACTCCTCAGATCCAGCAGATGGGCTGGGAGTTTCCTCCCTCTTGTCCACCCTGGGTGAGCCTTGTCAAGAAGGGAGAAGGAAAAGAGTGAAAGCAGACAGAGGATAAGGCAGAGAGCTGACAGACCTTCCACCGGCCCTCAAGTGGCAACACATCTGTTATTTTCTGTCTCTATGATCTCTATGGTTGCTCTATCTCCTTTTCATACTTCCATGTGTGACATTCTGCAGTTCTTACTCTACTCATCCAGCATTTTTCCTGCTCATATGGCCCCTGAGCAGCAAAGAAACTGAAATAGCACAATGTACTTCGATGTCTTTTCCTGCTCACAAAATATGCTCTCCATCTGCCTCCTTCTTAGCTTCCCTTTCTCTCTACATGCCTTCCTCTGACTATTCAATCTCAATCATCCTTTCCTTTTGACATTTTATTTCCTTTCCTCTAATTCCCTGTCCCTTACTGCAGTCTTCCCCCAACATAAATGTTCCCCTTTCCACATAGACTCAACTTTCTTCTCCAGGACTAATGGTGCACACCTGTAATCCCAGCAACAAGAGGCTGAGGCAGGCGAATAGCAAGTTCAAGGTCAGCTTCAGTAACTTAGCGAGACCAAGCAACTTAGTGAAACACGATCTCAAAATCAAAAAATTAAAAGTGCTAGGGATGTGGCTCAGTGGCAAAGCCTCCACTGGGTTCAATCCCCAGTAACAAAACAAAACAAAACAAAATTTATTCCTTCCTCAAACCCTTCATTTCCACTTGCCTCTTTCCTTCCCTGTACTTGTCTTCTATTTTCCTTATCTTCATCCTCTCCCTTTTGCTTTCTCCTTCTCTCTCTCCTTCCTTTTTCTCCCCCTATGTCCCTCTCCTTTCCACATTCCTGTCTCTCTATACTGAACTCCTCTTGGCAAGCAGAGGGCCCATGATAAAATATGAATGAGCCGCCTGTGCATGGCAGCAGGCATTCTCGCCAGGAGAGGCAGAGCCCTGCAGCAGCAGAGACAGCTGTGGAGGAGAAGGTGCCATGCAGAGCTATTGAGAGGGAGGGGAGGGCACCCCAGCACCACACACACAGAAAATGACCTCCTGCCAAAGAGGCTGATGGTTCAGGAAGAAAACAGGAGTGCTGAAGGCAGAGAAATTTGATGCTATTCTGTATTATCACAGATATAAACAAAGATTTAAAAATGCAAAGAGAAGAAAAGGAAGAAAAGAGAGAGGAAAAAGGCCAGCAAAAGCAAACTTGCCCTGCTGCCATACTCACCGGATTGAGCAGAGGGGTCCCCTCACCCCCAGCCAGAGCACATCCTGGGAGCCTCATGTCTCTCTGAGAGGCTGGGAAGCCCAAAGGCCCAGGTCCCACTGCTGAGGCTGACCCCAGCTGCCACAGCTCCTCAATTGCCACCTGCACACCACTGCCCACACTGTCACACTCCTCCTCCACGACAGACAGAGTCTTGCAGTTTTCCCTGGGACTTTCCTTGAGGGGCCCAGGCTCCTCTGTTGGGGGACTGTGGACCCGGCTCTCCCCGTCTTCATCAGGGGTGCACACCTTCCCTTGTCTCAGCTCACCCACTTCCTCCTGGAGCCGTTTTAACAACTCATTGTTGGCCCGGGCCAGACCCAGAGCAGCCTCAGCCAGGCCCACTGCCTTATCCACCCGCTGGTAGATAATATGCAAGAGCTGCTCAGAGCTCTGGACAGCCAGGCCATGTCCAGTCACTGTGATGGGGGTGCTGGCAGGAGGGTTCCCGCCCTGTGAGCCTGCGCTGCCTCCGCTATTCTCACTTTTACAGGCACAGCAGCAGCATCGGGCCTCGCTGCCACTGGGAGGGGAGAAGAGAATGGTGGCACTGAAGGACATGGCTGATAGGCACAGTAACAACCGTGCTCACTCGCTGGGCTTCTCCCAAAGGTGCTTTGGTCAACTGGACTTTATGATGTTGAAGCACTGGCCTCTGTGGATTCACTTTTCTTTCTCATGGAGGGTGGTCAGAGGAGTCGGAACTCCAGGTTGTGGGTTCTGTGAAGGAGGAGTAGGTAAGCCGTGAAGGAGCACACAGTCCATGGTTGCCTCTCATGGGCCTGCAGAGGAGAGAGAGACGCCTTCTTCTACTGGCAGATCCTGTGCTCTTCTAACACAACACACTGGGTGTCACACTCACCCCTTACTGAAAGAATAAAGCCAACAGGGGCCTTCCTGATCAACATGGTTTCATTCTTCCTACACTCAAGCATGGAACCCCCTACCACTGCAACCTGAGTAACAAAGGGAACTCCAAAGGACCCACCGGCATCTGGAAAGATTAGAAGATTAAGGAAGAAAATGAAGATTTGTCCCCTCCTCCTCCCTATCTCATTCCCCCTCCCCATACTAGTGATTGAACCTAGGGGTGCTCTTCCACTGAGCTCCATCCCCAGAACTTTTTATTATTATTTTTTTATTTTGAGACAGTCTCCTAAGTTGCCCAGGTTGGTCTTGAACTTGCAATCCTCTTGCCTTAGCCTCCTAAGTCACCAGAATTATAGGTATGCGCCACCAGGCCCAGCTCTACCTTACTATCTTTACTATTTTATTGCTTTGACATAGTCCTTTAAGGAGTCCAGAACAATTCACGTAGGTTATCTTATCTGCAAGACAGTGCTAAGAAACACATATTACCCCAAATCCAGAAAAGAGACATGCAAAGAAGTTATGTCTTTTTCAAGGTCAAAGGAAGACAGCAGAATCCAGTTATTGCTACTTTCAATCTAGTGTTCTAGTTTTTTTTTTTTTAAACATACCATTTTTTTGTTGACATAAAGAATCCTTATTCTACCCCCCTCTCTATAATTTTCATACACATGCATTCAGAGAAACAATAATACATCGATCACTGCAGCCCTCAACATGCAACCTTTCACTATTATATCATTAATATTTGGGGGATGGGGGTATGGAAAGAAGTGAAAAGCTGGATCAAGAAATTGGGCTGGGGTAACCCAGGGCTGCACAACTCCCTTGCTCTCAGAGTTGCATACCTGGGCCTCTAGCCCCTGCAAAGATTAGCTGCCTTGAATCTACCAGCCAGTAGCCCTTGGAAATAGGCTCTGGGTTGCCCTCACTGCCAGTTCTCAGATTCTTCAAGGGAGGAGCAGATGCTCAAAAGGAATATCTAAATAGCTAAGTGTTACCCATTTTTCCCACATGATCAGTCGCTATAAAAGGAAAAATGAGAATACCAGTGATAAACCAAACTGCCTCTCTTTTGAATTACTGTAGTTAAACAACTAAACTACTTCAGGAGAAAAAAATGGGTCGTGGTGGGAGTTTGATTTGTACCACTGAGAACACTCCAAGGAACTTAAATAAATATTGTCATTTTCTAAATGATACTTGATTACAGAAAAAAAGAATCCTTCTGCCTGAAGCTTTGTAAGTGACAAAATCTTAAGTGTGTTTACATTTCTTCAAGTGATACATTTCTATCTTATTTTATAAATTATAACATAACATCACAATTAAAAGGAAAGGAGGAGGTTAAGAGAATTTTCCATATATTGAGGTTTTGGGTTTGTTTGTTTCCAAATCAGCAATCTCATTTCAGAAACAAGCAATATCAGTACCTCTGAGGTACTAAAGCATAAATCTGACAATGCATTTAATTATATTTGGTTATTAAAAAATAGTCTTTAATTTGCTCTTTTTACCCTTTTTATTGAAGAAACAGCTTTTTTATGGCAGATATTCACTTCTTACAAGAACTTAAATCCATTTACAGCTTTCCTGTCATTAGAGCCACCAGAAGGCATGGCTAAACCTGAAACTAAAGGTTAAACCAAATTAAAACTAAAGGTTAAAGGAAAGCACTAAGCGATTCTATGTCAATTTATGGATGAATCATTTATGTATACTTTTCCTTCCTAAATAAAGGCCTACACTGTTCCTGCAGATTTGTTTTTTGATTTTGTTTTCAAACCAATATGATGCAAAGAACATTATTATTATTATTATTTTATTATTATTATTATTATTATTTTGGTACTAGGGATTGAAACCAAGGGTACTCTACAACTGAGTTATATCCCCAATGCTTTTTATTTTATATTGAGACAGGGTCTCACTAAGTTGCTGAGGCTGGCCTCAAACTTGTGATCCTCCTACCTCAACCTCCCCAGTTGCTGGGATTATAGGCATCAGCAAAGGGTTTAATATTTTTTTGTACTTTTTTTTTTTTTTTTCCAGTGCTGGGGATCAAACCCAGGCCTTGTTCATGCTAGGCAAACATACTACCACTGAGTCACATGCCCAGTCCCAAATGGTTTAAATTTTTTTTTTTTCTTTCTGTACTGGGAGTTGAATCTAGGTACATTCTACCACTGAGCAACATCACCAATCTTTTTTATTTTTTACTTTGATACTGGGCCTTGTAGGGCCGGGCATGTAGCTCAGTGGTAGAGCTTGTCTGCATGCCCAAGGCCCCGGGTTCAATCTCCAAGACCACTAAATTGAGGGAGGGGAGGGGAGAGGAAGGAAGGGGAGGAGAAGGCTTCACTAAATTGCCTAAGCTGGCTCCAAACTTGAGATCTGCCTTCCTGATTCAGTCTCCAGAGTAGCTGGGATTAAAAATATGTGCCACCATACCTGGCTAAGTGTTGTGTAAGCCTCAAGACTTCCCTCTTCTAGGGGCTGGGGATATAGCTCAGTTGGTAGAGTGCTTGCCTTGCCCTGGGTTCAATCCCCAGCACCAAAAAAAAAAAAAGACCGCCCTCATCTATCAAATGGCCTTCTTTGGCCATCTTTCTGAAATAGTACTGAACTGTAAGTTTAAAAAAAAAAAAAAAAAAAAGGAGTTCTCCTCTGATCACACCACTTATGAGTCATGTGAACCTGTACAAATCATTTCACTTTTTAAAAAAAATTTTTTTAGTTGCATTTGGATACAATACCTTTATCTTATTCATTCATTCATTCATTCATTTATTTATTTTTATGTGGTGCTGAGGATCTAACACACCGCCTCATACATGCTAGGCGAGTGCCTTACAGCTGAGCCACAACCCCAAACCAAATCATTTCACTTTTTAAGTCCCAGTTTTCTCGTCTCTGCCTGCTTTCAGTGTTTTTGTGAAGATTGCATATAACATATGCAAGGTACCAACAGTCACTGACATATGGTCAGTGTTCCACAAAGGAATGAATCTACAACCTTTTTGTGATCCAACCAGGGACATCCATCCTGATTCCCTTTTAATAAAATTTAATGACTTGAAATAAAATTTGAGGAAATTTGACTTAAATTTATTCATTTATTTAGATGCTGGGGATTGAACCCAGGACCTCCCACATGCTAAACAAGCACTCTCCCGCCAAGTTACACCCCTAGCCTGACCATAAATTTAACACCAATTTCTAATAAACAATAAGTTCAAGGATAAGAATGCATCTATAGATATGAAACCTGTAATGCAACTTAGAAAGGTAATTGAGGAAACAGAATTTACAATTTACTTACTATTATGACCTAGACTTAGACTAAAGAGAATACTTAACTCAGCTAGTTTTGTTTGTTGCAGTACTGGGGACGGAAGCCAGAGCCTCCTGCACGCCAGTTATTTATCACTGAGCTACATCTCTGTTCCTTTTTCAAAAAGTGGATTTAAGACAGTGTCTTGCTAAATTGCCTGGGCTGTGCTTGAACTAGTGATCCTCCCGCCTCAGCTTTCAGAGTAGCTGGGATTACAGGTATGCACCAACAACTCTACTGGCTAAAAGTATTTTCCTATTGTCAGTTCACTTTGTTTATCAATTTCTTTTCTGCTTCTTACTTTGTGTATTATCATACTATGTCCATTTTAAAAAATGTTACATTAAGGGCAAAAAATAGGAGTTTTCTTGAATTAATCTATCTACATTAAAAAAAAAAAACTGGTATAGTGCCCTGTAGCACAATGAATATTCAAATGACTTTTGGTTTCCATGGACACTATTGTGGACAATTTCCCTGCTTCCTGATATAGTCTCCCATCTAAAATCTAAGATATAGAAAGAAATTGGGGTCATCAAATAATAAAGGAGTATTTCATATCACATTTACAAAGCAGATAACTTAAATGTGGGAATACATGATTACAAACAAATCAAAATAGTAATTTCATTAGCTGCATACCTCTCAATTAGAAAAAAAATGAACAAGTACAAAGAAAAAAAAGAGATGTTTCTAAAAATTCTCTACAAGTAATACCATGCCACAGGGTGATTAGCCAAAATGGATTGCCAACTATTAAATACTCAAATGAAGGGAGAACAAGGGCTGTTTCATGGGAATGTCTAAAGAATGTGGAATGTTCTAAACATGAACTATCTAGAAAACAAAGCAAAACACACACAAGTTCCTAGAAACATGGAATAGACAGAAAGCTGAGGAGTTGATTCAAAATAATAGACCAACAGAGTAAAATCGGGAGGAAGAGTTTGTACGTGTGTTTGGGGCGGTGTGGGGGGGTTGTTACCAGGGACTGAACCCAGAGTGCTCTACCACTAAGCCTCATCCTAAGCCTTTTTTTATTTATTTTGAAACAAGTTGGTTAGGCGGGCCTTGAATTTGCAATCCTCCTGCCTCAGTGATCCCAGCTGCTGGGATTACAGATGTGTACCATTGTACCTGGTTGGAGAAAGAATTCTTTCTTTCTTTCTTTTCTTTTTTTTTTTTTAAACAGAGAAAGAGAGAGAATTTTTTTTTTTTTTTTTAATATTCAGTTCTCGACAGACACAACATCTTTGTTTGTATGTGGTGCTGAGGATTGAACCCGGGCCGCACGCATGCCAGGCGAGCGTGCTACCGCTTGAGCCACATCCCCACAGCCTGAGAAAGAATTCTTATAGAAGTAAAACCTCCTCTGAGCCAGGTGTAGTGGCACACACCCGTAATCCCAGCTAGTTCAGAGACTGAAGAAGAAGGATTGCAAGTGTGAGGTCTTGGGTTCAACTCCAGTAAAACACACACATACCTTCACATAAAAACACACACACAGCTTTTCTCAGCTGGTGGGCCATATGAAAACAAGTGGCAGGCTGTATTTTGCCAATCCCTGGAACTGTTAGAGATTAGAGGATTATTGGTCACAGCTAATGAGAATGAGGACCATGGATGGAAGGTTTGACACCCTGGGGGAAGAACTGGTATTTCCTTACTTAATAAAGATGGGGGATAAAAATATTGGTCAAAGATAGCTTCAAATGTAAGCCTGGGGCTGGGGATGTGGCTCAAGTAGTAGTGCGCTTGCTTGGCATGCGTGAGGCACTGGGTTCGATCCT